GGCGACAGTCTGAAGCGGCTCATTACAAATATGTGAACCCACTTGGGCCACCCGTAGACGCCGCTTCCCAGCGGCGGACTATTCGCTAAATTGTCATTCACGTGAAACGTGGGCGTTCGCTAAAACGTCAGTCGATCAAATGAGCGCCTCCCACAATTTGCCGAAAACCACGTTAGGACTCTTCGCAGACGATAAGAGTTACCGACGCTATTAACTTGTGGCGCCATCTCCCGATAGATGCTGCGAGCAGAGGACGAACTCTGTTGGGTGCTCGTTGAGCCAATCGGAAGATGGCACCACAAGTTATTAGTAGGGCTGAGCGTCGATTAAACCTTTTAACCCGATTCATCATCACCCTTTAATTGATTAATTAGTTGGTCACTCGGCCTCGTTTATTTTCATGCCTAAAATACAAAGAAGGATAAATAATATATTTTTTTAATCTTTACTGAATATGTGACAAACGACGGAATACAAAAAATATAGATTTCGAATAAACTCTCGATGTGTAGTTGACAATGATTCAAAGACACTCACACTCAAATTATTACTTAGCTGCATGAGGCAAAGATGTTAGTTTTTATTTCTCCGGCAAGAGCGTCCTCCCTTGATTGTTCACAATAGGGAGTATTCACTGGCGGCCATATCCGTGTGCGCTGCTGCTGAGCGCGTGCTGACGGCGAGCTTCCGCAGTCCTTTTGGAGCGTGCATTTAGCACCATCAAGGTTGCCGGTCTTAGCAGGCTATTAATGTGAGCTCGTTCTGAGCATGCGCTCTAAACATCGCCCTCAAATATGGCGTCCAGTGAATACCTCCTATAGTCTCTGCTGCGCTAAACGGACACTCGAACGGCGTTAAAGTAGCTGGAACATGTTCAACCTTCTGAAATTATCTTCAGTTATAAATATCGCCCCTACAATTTACTTTAGGCTTAAATTTCGCCTAAAGTTTGCTCTTCATACAGGGGTACTCGCCCACGTCTGCTTGTTGAAAGCGCATTATTATTTACTTTTTTTTTATTCGTCAAAATGTTAACGATTAAACGGTTACAAATATTAATCGCGATTAAATTATTAATCGACTGATCGGCACGTTATTCGATAAGTCGCCAGCCCTTATTAGCGTCGGTAACTCGGGCGTCTGCGAAGGGGTTTAACGCGAACTTCGGCAAGTTTTTTTTGCTCTAATTTTTTGCACAAGGAGAACTACTCATTGAGATTGCACGCTGTAAGATTGAACTGCTCAGTTTATATTCCGTGAAAGTTAGAGCTATGTACAGGCGCCGAATTTATTGGCTCGTTTTACAGCGGAAGGTCCGCCAAAGACACCCTATACATTTCGCTTTTTGTTTTCTTATGACAAGCGCACTAAGTAAGTACACAAAAAAAAACTATGGCACCTAAAGAGGAAAAATGTAACTTTCATCTTAACTCTATTGTGTATGCTAAACATCGCAAAAGTTTAAACAAGAGCTCCCAGAAGGGGCACTGCGAGCGGAGACAGACGAAGAGTGTCGTCCGCTCTCATTGTGTGCTTGTGCACAAACGCTGAACTGACTTTGATCCCATGCAAGGTTTTAAATATCTGAATCTGAACTCGTTCAGAACTGAGATCAATCGAACAGGAAAGTGCAGCGACCGTGAAGCTTCCGGTTGAATCGAATGCACTCGTTCACTGCTGAACTTGTTCAGTAAGTTTAGGCTTGAGCAAGCAGGGAGTCATCAATCACTGTGAAGGACTTACAAACTACGGCCGCTAAAGCATAACAAACCAAGCACTAATCGTCGGCTAGAACGGCTGAAAACGCAGCAAAAAACACCGCGAAAGAAGTGGCAGTACGAACAAGAAACCTCCTTGAGTAGAAACCTGGCACCGGGGCACAAATTCGCTTGACAAACAACCAACCCCCGCTGAAGCACAATACCGATTGAAGCTGGTGGCAGAATTTTTAATACCAGTCTTGGTGTGGATCGCTATTCCCGATTAGTGTAGTATGTTGGCGGTGCTCGTATTTATTATCTATAAATCGCGAGCGGTCATGTACTTTGGTTCGACATTCGACAGGGGCTACTTTTTAACAAGTGATAAGGGCTGAGCGGTATCTCACCCCAGTAAGAATGTAGTCTCAGTGGCCGAACGATGCACACGCCTTTCAACCCCCGCTGAAGCACAATACCGATTGTACACATGGGCATCTTAGAGTGAGGAGGCGGTTGCCTTAAGGATTTTGCCCTTCAAAAAACACTGACAAACACCAAAAAAACTTTTTTTTAAAATTTTTGTTAGACGATTTATTATGGTGTCAACCATACTACGCAATCAACTTTCGCTACAGCGTTACATATATTTTTAATAAAGCCAAAAAACGAAACTGCTTGAAACCGAAATTGAACTGGGGAGGAGGAAGAAATGTAGTGGAGGAGCGAGTTGGGGCCGTAAGTCACGTGGATACAGCGGAATGCGTTTTCTTCTTTTCTTTCTTTTTTTTTTTTACATTCTTTTTTTTCGAAGTAGACGAAAAACGCTTACCGTAACGCGAAAAACGCAAACGTCAAGCACTTTGTGCTTCACGTTTGCGCGTTTCTAAAGCTTTTACCGATTCGTGTTCGTAAGACCAGCATACTGTCTTCAGCCAGAAGAAGGCGCGACGGTTCGGCGACGTCTTGGTGCGAATCAGCTGTTGCTGGTTGGGCGTGTCGTACAGAATAAATTCTATTTGTCGTTTCTCTTTCGAAGCTAAACAGATTCGCCGGTACCGCGAACAGCAGCCGTCACCCGCCGCCATCTTTTAGTCCGCTTCGTTCAGCCGTCCAACCCGCGACTTCCGCGATGCGACGCCGTGTTCAGACTTACACAGAGAATACATAGAGTGCTTCCAGTTCTCTGTGCAACTTTTTTTTTTTTTTTCATCAAAGTATTTCCAGTTTTTTAGAAGCCACAAGACATTTTTTTTTCCTATTTTTAATGTTGAGTGTGTTGTGCCTTCGATGACCCACAAGGTTTGTGATATTTCGCGCGTGTGTCTCAGCCACAAAAAACAGCACGTGACCACGGCAAAAGGGTGAGCGCGACTCATACCGGCCAGCTCTCCATCGGCGGTTTTCTGGAGGAAAGGAAACATATTTCGAGCCGCAAACTGTGTTCCGGCTAGTTGGGATATGTCATTTAAAAATAAAACCTTTGGCGAGCATAAATACCCTATCAGTCTCCTTTTAAAAAGGTCCGTTTCCGCGTGCCGACAGCGGAGTTTCTATAGCTCGTTTTAGCTTAAAGGGGCCTTGCAATCATTTTTAAGCGTCAACCTTTTTTTTGCGGTTTCCACGTCTCGTGGGGTTCGGGCAAGCCAGCGGGCACGGAGAGAGTCACTAAATATCAGTGCGTCATATTTTAACCGGACGACGCGGAAACCTCCTTCTGCGGAGGCGCCCCGTGGTGTCGAACCCGCGCGGCATGTGACGAAATCGTGACGTTTTTGGTCCTGACGTCAGCCGAGGAGAAGAGCTGCCCCGTTCCCGGGCAGCTCTCTCTCCTCGTCCTCACCTCCTTTCCCCATCTTCCCCTCCCTCCCCATATTCCTCAGTCACCGCGGTCCTCGGGCGCTTGAAAAGGCGGGACAGAGGACCGAGGACGTCATGAGGGAGGTTATTTTCTGCTGGTTTTTTTGTAATTTAATACGCCGATAACTTTTAAAATAAAGCGAATGTCCGGAAAAGAAAACGTTCACAAAGTTACAACGTTCAGTCCGCTCAGGTTTGGTGAAAAATAAAAAAAAAAGTAAAAATGTCGTTGCAAGGCTCCCTTAAGTCCAGACAGCCAACTCTACGTGATTAATCAATCAAACAGTGTCAAAAGAGCAAATCACGGGGTCATTTCTGGGCTTAAGTTGAAATAGTTAATGTTACGTCTTTGCTGCCATCCGCCGTTCGGCCAGGCGCGACGGGATTACGACACGCTCCTGTTGGTAGCCAGTATGGGAAAACGCCCCCTTTATTGCTTCGAACACAGATATATAGAGAACGCCACGACTGGTGACGTCAACGGGGAAACGTCAACTGCTATCGGCTTGATAACAGCGGATAGACAGGATGTAAACAATGACAATGCAACAGTTAAGTACGTCAAGACGGTTGGGTACAAGTACTTAGCCGTCTTGACCAGATAGGAGGACGACTCTGCTTTGAAACATGTTCGTGCGTTACCTTTCCTACACTACGCATAACCAGCCAATCACGGCTCAGAAAACAATGATTCAAACGCGTGATGTAGCTCGTAATACGATAAAACAAAACAAAAAATGTGTGCCGGCATAATGAGCATGACAATTCATTTGGTCATCCACTGTATATTGGATTTACTTTGTTTATTTTACGTAATCGTATTTTGAGTTACGTCAATGCTAGGATCCTTCTATGGATCGCCGTCAATGGCTGCCTTCATGTTCTGCAGTAAAGCGAGCCCAGAGACGTTGGAGAATTTTAATCTTTTTTAACAGAACCCCTCCCCCCCCCGCAATCTTAAAATGTGTCCGTCTTGCGGGGAAATGACATCACGTAACATACAAACCAAATTATTGTCCCTGCTAAATTTAGAGGCGAAGTATAGTGGACCTCGCGTCACTTGTACATCAGTCCAGTTAGTTCAGTCTTACCAGTGAATTTACAGTGGATATTGACGTCACTCTAGGTGCACACCAAGTGAGTTCGCCGCTAAATTTATCGGAAATTGATGTCACGTGGTTATGCACCAAGTTAGTTTCCAGAGTAACTAGACGCCACGTGTTCTACGCCCCAAGTCATTGACGTCACGCGACCTAAAGGCAAATCCAGTTTCCCCTTAAGATGTTGCGGGTGAATTCATAAAGATATGGGTCCCTCCCCAAAGCGCCGTTATAACACCTTCTAACAACAATTAAACGATGTTTTGGTTAAAAACTGCATTCCACGCATTATATGACCTTGGACATAAAGGGTCCTGCCAATTCTGCGAAATGTAGGCATTACCTCCTCCATAGGCCTGGCCGTAGCTGCCGCTTCGGTTCAGTCGCACCAGCTCGCGATTTGTTTCGCAATCCAGAGACAACTCCATGAGCTCGACCATCGTGGTGGAGTTGACCTTGTACAGCTTCACGTCCCGGTCGAGGATCAGTTGGGTCATCCCGTTGTTCTGGTGGATCTCGCGGGCGTGCTTCCACAGGACGACGAGTGCGGTTGTTTCTGCGCGAGGGGCACCATCGATGTACAACTTGCGCGGGAAGATGACAGGTGGTAGCCACTAAAGGAGCTACGCCTAGGGCGGCACATGGTTCTCTGGGCTACTGGTGGGCGCCGCCATTTTGGTGCTACGTGCAGAGCAGGCGCAACTGTCGATTTTTCCACCATTAAAACAAAAAAGCGACTTCCTCAGCTTTAGACATGCTGGTGGGAAGCTGATGGGATATTGTTTCGCTCTTTCCTGAGCTGTTTTAACATTTCCGGAGGCCGGAAAGACGTCGTTTATTTTTGCGATTTAAAACAAAGCTTTACATAACTGGATTAGTATCGTCATGTGGGCGAGTTGCTTCATGGTAAACGGAAATAAACAGCGCGCAAAATTAGACAAGGACGATGGGAAGATGCGAACAACACAAGCGTTGGACTCACAACAAATACATTTATTGAAAAAAAGAACAACGATGTAAACCACACTACCGCTACAGTACGTTTCAAGAGCGCATACGCGTCTCAAGAGCACGCGTATGCAGTAACAAAAGAGGGGCAAGATGCATCCCTCAGTCAGACATCGGGTTTTCTTCAGAAAAAAAAAGAAATTGCTTATCTTGACACGTGCTGAAGAGATAGTGCTGTTTACATCCTTGATGTTATTTCAATAACTGTTTAGTTGTGAGTCCAGCGCTTGTGTTGTACGCATGTTCCCTTCGTCCTTGTCTATTTTGGCGCCTTGTTTATTTCCGTTTACATAACTGGCAACTATGATTCTCAACACCAAGCTGGCTGAAGTTTGTGCCTGGAACGCGTGTCCAACTGATGTGTTAACCGCGTGCAAAAAAAGTGGTTCCTCGATTTTCGCCCGATGACGTCGTGTCATGCTGTCTCAAGTCGCGACACTGGAGGCGTCCCAACAGCTGTAGCGTAGTGGCAGACGCCTGTTGTGCTGCGTGTTGCTCTTCAGTGTGGCAGTCCGCGGAAGCGTCAGCAGCCAGAAGTTGGGACGCCGCGACGAAGGCGACGCACGCGTTCGCTCGCGCTTTTCGCCGCAGCATTTCTACGGCCAACCTTCGATAACCGCGACTCCGACAGCATGACACTATCGGCTTCTTTGACGTCATTTGTTGGCACTTCGGGACCGCTTTCGATGTACGGGCGGCATAGGACGCTAAACAAAACCGGTCGGAGACGCGCTCCAGGCACCATAGCCCAAGTGTCGTTATTCTGATGCGTAGATGACTTCGCTGTTGTGGTACCCTGGGTTGTTGCTCGTCTCGCGCGACGAAGTTTTCGTGGCTCGGAAGTCCGGTAATAGAAATGTTGAAAAAGACTCGCACGAAAGCCTGAAAAACCTAAATAATGTGGCCACACTGCTAGTACATTCTTCAAAAGACAGCCTTCAAACAATTTCTAAAACGTTTTTTTTTTTTTTTTTTTTTTTTTTTTTTTGTCATGCATGACGGCTTTTTTAACATTGGTCATACTAAAGCTGCGTGCAGACATGTTCGAGGCAAATATATGTAAAAAGCAAACCCGTGACGCGTATCTGCAGATATTTCCGTCATCATGTATGCAAAAAACTCGCGTGTTTTTTTTTTTTTTTTTTTTTTGTATGATGTGCGATAAGTTAGGTTATACTGCTCAAAAAGGGCAGTGCGACGGTTTTTGGAAACTTTCCGAACATACCACTTGCAATTGGACCCTGACGTTTATAACCTGTGAAACACGCGTTAGTTTTTCTCCCTACGCAATAATAGACGATAAAAAACAAAACAATATTAGCGTTAAGCCTTTTAGCTCGCACCCAGAACAAGCGTCCACGTGTTCTGGAGCCGATTATAGGCAGCCTATGTTTATCATAACCGCGCGCTGTGCTTGGTAAAGCACATGACACGTGCCGGGTTCCAGATATTGTAAGGGTTCAGCTATTGTCGGTCATTGCAGTCATTAGACACGAGGTACTACCAGAATGCTTATAAAGTCACCGACTATCACGAGTCCGACTCGAGTGCTCTAGCCATGCTCAGGACCAGAGTATGAGTCGCATTCAAATATCGTCACTCGGAGGAATATATGCGACGACTGTCACCTCGGACCCACGTCATTGAGTATTGCAAAAGTAAGACTAAAAAAAGAAAAAGAAAAAGCTCGCTTTTTTTTTTTTCTTTGCAGCCTTCGTTTCTAGGAACAGGGGAATTTATGTGCCGTTTGGCGCGGCTTCAAAACCTGATAACGCCGGTGCACTCTGTGGAACGGTTAATGCTTTCGCATTAAAAAAGTAGTGAAACGAAATGACTCTGTCTGAACTAGGCAGTCTGTCACTTTTTGGGGCGATGCTTCTAAACAATGTCACTTTTCCGTCGAGAGGAATTGCAGTTCAAAATTCATTCTCGGTAAAAGGCTGTGAGAACAGAGACGTGACAGACTTGATAAAGTTGCTTAACTTACCCTCGCTGATGTCACAACTGCAGTATTTGGGAAGCGATACCATGTATTCCAAGGATATAAACCCCTTCTCATTGCGCAGAGTTGAGGTAGCTCTCAAAACTCCACAAAACTTTCTTTCACCTGACCCTGCACGTACAAAACGAAGTATTTTCTGATTAGTTATTGTCAGCTTCCATCGTACATTTTCATAAAACATGCTTTGATTCTAGAGCTCACAGAGCGACGGTGATCAACAGCATTAATGGGCACTCGAAATCGATATCCTCAAAAGAGGTTGTCCTAATGAACGAGTCCCAGTAGAGCGGCAAACAAACAAACTGTCCGCGTTTCTACTCTGCTGAAAAAGGTAGACCAGCGAGAGCTGTACTATGTTGGGAATGAAGTAGTTATAAATGTAAAGGTTAGGGTGTGATTGGGTAATTGGTTATTTGAAAAATTAAAGAATCAGACATATATATATATATATAGCGATCATTGGTTGTTATTTATTTTTTGACCACACTGACAATGGCCTTGTGATTGCTGCCATAGGGTGTACGCTGACGGCAGGCACGTTCTTCGTAAAGACGAGGTTTATACACGTCCGATGCCTGGTCGTGGGTACTGTAGGTTCGTGCACACGCAAGCGCGAAGCGCTCGAGCATAAACGAAGTGAACCACTTTTTCTCCTGGCACGCATTGTCAACTTTAAAGTCACCCGTCCCTACGGCAGACGTGTCGTCGCCGAGCATGACCCAGCCGAAGACGCCCATCATGAATGCTTCAATGTCTCTCTTGGGCGTCGCGTGGGGAGGGGGCGGGGGGGGGGGGGGGGGGGGGGGGACGTACACGACGGCGACCACCGGACCATTTCGTACCTTGACAGAAAAGCTGGAAAGATTGCCGCCATCTATGAGTGACGGCGGCCACCAGATTGGTTGTCTGGTTGCCACTTTTTCTCATAGATTGCGGTAGCTGTTCAAAGTTATGCACAGTTTTGTGTCAACATTTGTTTGGTACCGGCCACGAAACTGGGGAAACTAGCCCTTAAGAGCTACGCTGCAAAGAAACGGACACGGAAAAGCCTCCAATACATGCAGCATGCTCGCGATGGTACCTTTGGTTGGCGCTTAGTCGTTTGGTGCTCGTGAAGTAAGCACGAGGAATTGCAAGCATGCCAAAGATACCCTCGCGTGCATGATGCTTGTGTTTGCTCTACACCGTGGTTTGCTCATAGCCTCCTTTATTCTACAAAGCCTGTCGAACCAAAGAAGAATCTGGTTTGAGGCTTGTCGCTGTCGGTTCTTTCTGTTTGTCTCTCTCGCGGAACTCGAGCATAAGACGAAATTGACGGAGGCTGGAAAACATACCGTATTCACGACTCCAGCATAACGGGCGGCATCTACTGGAGAAACACTGAACAAAACAAAACAAAACCTTTCACAATTTCTGCTCGTCTCTTGTGGCTTCCGGGATTACATGTTGTTGCCGGTTGGCGCAATGGAACAGTTGTTCTGGTGACCCTGGTGTTACTGTCGTATAAGCGTGTTGCCCAGGTCTCTCTAAATGCAATCTATACGCCACCGCATGAGCCAGACATTCTGGGCTTATTAACGTTCATCAGCACCTCAGTCTTTTTATCGCTTCCTCGAAGAAGTTCAAGTCTCTTGAAGCTCGCTCAGGCTAACATATATCGCTGCAGGTTCGAAACGTCGTGAATAAATATCGGAGGCAAACCATTTTGAGTTAAATGCTTGCCTTCTGAAACCCGTGCGTTGTGCGTGCTGAGCTGGCATACAATCTAAGAAAAAATGGAGGAAAAAAATAGCAACGGCGCATTTTCCTCCCTTCTATTGACGCGCCCCCAAGCGTACACGAGAAGAAGAGAGGAATGAGACGTTTTTTTTCTTTTCCAGGCAGACAGAAGAAAGTTTCCGTAATCCCGACTCATCTTCTTTTGGGTTCGTTCTTCGGACACGTCGCGCACATTGTTTAAGAAATGTTGTTGAGTTGATTGAGCTCCAGCGGCAGCGAAGGCCACCTGTAGTTCCGTCTCCCAGTCCGAACGTGCAGAACATTTTGGTTGCATTGACGTTTTAATCACTAATTTTATCAAACGAGCAAACGAAACCGCTAGAAACAGCGAAGTTCCGGAGCAGTGCCAGCAGTGCTACGTGCACTGGGCTTAGATGGCCATCTCCGGATTGCAGAAACCATATGCACCACCTTGCGGACCACGCTGAATGATGTGTCCACAGTGGATGTGTCGACGTTGACGACGTTATAGAAATCGCGGAAACTGCGTCCAAGACAGACAGGTTTTGCTGCCGCTTGCCCGGGTGCCTTCTGTGCTCAGTTCGGTTCTGTTTTCCGATGCCGAGTGCCAAACGGTAGTCAACGTGGTCCTGTATTTTTGCGTGTCAGCAACATAGCAGCAAGATGGCAGTGTTGTGTGTTGTGAACAGAAGACTGCAATTATTGCCGACGTGACCGTGTGACCGTCTGTTCGCGTATCAGTGGTGT